TGTCCACTAAATCACACACTGATTGCCATTCATATGATTAACATATCATTGAATGAATTGTTTATAATTTACAAAAACATTGAGTGAAGTGTTAGTGAGAGTGAGAGTGCGCTGTCTGTTGAACACATCATTTGACAGATGATTGTCCCTGATCAATATTTTGTAAGTTTAGTAATGATTTATAAATTTCAATTCAAACATACAACTATTTTGAACTTATAAAAGTAATTGAAATAAATATGTTTTTAAAACTTTTATAAACAAAGACTACTAAATGTATGCACACTATATTAATAAAACACTAAATAAATTAAGACACATAAGTCTATGATAAGTACATAAGTTTTAAAAGGAACATGCTAAGTTGTAAAAAGTTTATAAATTGTAAAATTTTAAAAACAGATAATTTGTTAAGTGAGTGCATTAATTGAAAGCACTGGCCATACGGACTGGTGTTCAATATTATATCTCTATTCATTTCAATAGCCTTTAATTGTTTGCAAACTTTGTATTATTCTCGTCGCGCGAGACACGACTCAATGCCTCAGAAATACAACAATCAAATCAAATACTTTCCGAGCGTTTCATTCAAATATCGATTTAAATCATATTAAATGATTTGCTTTTATTAACAACTGTTCAGTTCTTCAGCACATAACCAGACAATGCATTCCTCTTTGTTCTTTGCTATTCTATTAATGCTACCATCGTTTCATTCAAATATCGATTTAAATCATATTAAATGATTTGCTTTTATTAACAACTGTTCAGTTCTTCAGCACATAACCAGACAATGCATTCCTCTTTGTTCTTTGCTATTCTATTAATGCTACCAATTAGTGGTGTCTTCCCTAAGTCTACCTTTCTATGCAAAGATTCAGTCATCGACGCCATCACCTTCTCGAGCGATGTTCAGATGTATTGGTTGAGCTCTGGAGGACACTTCTGGTGGTTGAAGGTGAGTGGTGGTCAGGGATGGTCAGTGTGTTCAATGTTGTCTGAATCCCAGTTCCCACACAATTAGGAATCACAGTTTCCCCCATCCGACGAGTTGGCCAAGAGTTTTGTGGCGCCCTTTACTAAAGCCGATGCCGTGGTCTATGTGGACAGTATGGGCGGCTGCTCTAAAGCACAGACCGATGGGGGGATGGTTTCCAACGAGCGGCACATATGGGTCATGGAATTGATCGGTGGCAGACATAAGATGATGCCCTGGGATACATCGACTGGCCAGTGGGTGACCGACAAACTGATCGAGTACAATAGGTAATAGCAGTAAATATTCGTTAAATTGTTTTCAAATATATAACTAAAACTTTTTAATAATCTTTTAATTGTCTCACCTATTGAGGGGGAGGGGGGTTAAGATTCAGTATAAATTGAATTGCATTATTTGTCTATTACAGCGACCACTGTGCCAGTCGTGCTGAGATAGGGTGGGCTGAAGGGAAACCATTGGACGCCATGTTTGCCGTCAACTATTTGTGGGTCTTCTTCGTGAAGGGGGACGCCCTGGCAATGGTTGACTGCACCTTCATGTGCACAAAACCTGAGGGTTGGGGCGTTGAGAAGCCGCGACAGTCAGTGAAGCTGTCGCTCCAGACGTCGGAAAAAATTTATGGCGTTTTCGTGAAGAAAGAAGTGAACGGCGCGGATAAGACGCTGTATGTCTTCAACAAGAAGACGTTCAGCACTTTCCAGATCACCAAAGTTACGCCCGAAGGAGAGTTTGTCGCCCGAAAGCAGGGCTCACCGAAGGATGTCTTCAAGGATTTCCTCAAAATCACAAGTCCTGAGAAGTGTAGTGGCGGTGGCGGTGGGGGTGAGAGCTCAGCACCGGCCCCGTCGGGAAACGACACAAATGGGGGACAGAGCCGACCCGATGCCCACCCACAGGAGGAGTCACCTCACGATTCCGAAACTTCAAACACTAGCGATGGAGAGGGAGAAGAAAAGAGCAGCAAGAGTTGGATTTTGATCGTACTTTTCATCGTAATTATAGTGATCGTTGCCATCGGTGTCGGAGCCTTCCTCGTGATGAGGAACAAGTCCTCGTCGACTGAGACTCAGTCCTCAAAGGCTGAACTATCAAAAGCTGGTCCGTCGAGTGTTGGACAATCAAAAGCTTAGTGATCGTTGCCATCGGTGTCGGAGCCTTCCTCGTGATGAGGAACAAGTCCTCGTCGACTGAGACTCAGTCCTCAAAGGCTGAACTATCAAAAGCTGGTCCGTCGAGTGTTGGACAATCAAAAGCCGGTCCGTCGCCAAAGGGATCGACCCTCGGGTCCCAGAAAACGGCCAGAAGTTCTATTAAATAACCGCATCTAAGAAATAAACTTTTTGTATACATTTTATTTTAAATTCTATTTATTCTGTTTATAACTCAAATTTATTTATTATTTATAACTCAAATGTTTATTTCAAATATACCGTATTTACTTACAATTTATTAAATTTGTATTAGTGATCGTTGCCATCGGTGTCGGAGCCTTCCTCGTGATGAGGAACAAGTCCTCGTCGACTGAGACTCAGTCCTCAAAGGCTGAACTATCAAAAGCTGGTCCGTCGAGTGTTGGACAATCAAAAGCATCAAAGGTTGGTCCGTCGCCTTCTAGCAAATCAAAAGCCGGTCCGTCGCCAAAGGGATCGACCCTCGGGTCCCAGAAAGCGACCAGAAGTTCTATTAAATAACCGCATCTAAGAAAAAAACTTTTTGTATACATTTTATTTTAAATTCTATTTATTCTGTTTATAACTCAAATTTATTTATTATTTATAACTCAAATGTTTATTTCAAATATACCGTATTTACTTACAATTTATTAAATTTGTATTCCAAATATTATTTATCAAAATTTGTATATTTTATACCTTAAGAACCATAAGAATAAATACTGTATACCGTAGTACTGAATGCTGTATATTCTGTAGCACTTATGGAATAATCTATTGATTTATAATCAAAATTGTCTTTATTTTAATAATAATTTAATTTAAGATATGTTATTATACAGAGAATTTATTTAAATATAATTCAAATTGATTTCAATTTATAACTTACTGTAAACGTAGATCATTTTAAAATTTAATATATTTTCAAGTATTTAGTTTTGTTTCACTAATTGTTATCTGAGGGTTGATTTGAAGTATTGGTTGAGTTTGAGGCCTGACTTTGAGGTGACTGTTCGGCAACCGAACCGGTATTCGAGTCGATGATCGGCGGCTGTGTTTGTGAGAAGCGCTGCAAACGTCTCTGTCGTAACACTTCTTGAGGATTGTTATCAACTCTAAGAGTATCACCAGAATTAGCGCTCGTATTGGGCGCTGCACTCGCATTGGCCACACCTGAAGTGGACGGTGTGTCCGATGCGGCGCTCTGTGATGCAGTCATACGATTTGCAACAGTATTATACTGTTGGAGTTGAAGTACCGCCGCTTCTACTAAAGTCTGAACATTCCTTAAGCACCTGATCCGGGCCTCAATGTTCTGTCTCTCATTGCCTTCGAGCGCTCGTAACTCTTCTAATGATAGTCGACTCAAATCGGGCGGAGGAGTGGGCATAGGAGGCGCCATATATGGCATAAATGGTGGGAATGGTATGAATGGCGGGATAGTGGCTGTCGGGGCTCTATTCGCTTGCGCGCCAGTATTGGCTCCGGCGGCACCGGTATTTGCATTCGTGTTGTTGTTATTGACATTATTGTTGTTAAGATTGATGTTATTGTTGTTGTTGTTGTTATTGAAGTTATTATTGTTATTATTAAGGTTTTGATTGATTTGATTGGCCTGTGGTTGAGGAACGGCAGCACCAAATGGTTGCCAATTGGCGGGTATGAAAAACTGCGGCGGGATTTGCGGGATTCCCGGCTGTGCTCTGGGCTGTTGGGGCTGCTGTTGAGGCGGTGGTTGGGCGCCGGCATTGGGCGCCACTCGAAGCACATCCATTCGACAGGTGGGACACGTCTGTTGTCTCTGGAACCACGAGCGCAGACACGACACATGGAATATATGGTTACAGGGAAGCCGTTTGGCGCTACCATTGCCTGTCATCTCTTCCCTGCATATAATGCATACGTTGTCCACACTTTGCAGCTCTTCTGGTGTGGCGTCAGGATATCTAAGAGTGGATTAAAAGATCATTTGATTGAGTTTTAAATGGATTCAGAGGTAAGACATACAACGTATTCATATTCCTGATGGCCCGCCGAGACATTATCACATCATTCAGTGCTTTCTTGAAGGCTCTGAGAAGTGCATCAAAAGTGAGAATCAAATGACTGAACGAAAAGCAATGCATTGAAGGCATACCTCATACTTAAATACATGGGACGGATGGCAAAGAGAGGAAAGGTATGTATTTTCATCATAATTGTGATGAAAGTCACGTATAAAATCACTTTTAGAAAACCCATCAAAAGCTCGGTGTATAACAAATAGACGGCTTTGTCTTCCCAGGGATTCTCGTTCTGGAGGTCAACGAAGTGGAGGATGTATTTCATCAGGATATTGAAGACCACAGCAAACAGAATGGCGTACTGTTCCAGACATCAACACATCATATGTCACATGAATGCATACATGTCTTGAGACAATCATTGCTTACCTCAAAGCCGAAGACCAGCTGAACGGACGCCCCTTTCGTGAGAGTACTATAGTATGCCATATGAATGAACCAGAAGTCAAGACTTGCCAAAAGGAACAGAAGGGCTGCAGTGATGGGAACAGATATCTCATGAGAGTAATGGACTCAATGGTGGACTCAATGTCTTACAAATGACTCGGATGTGGAACAGGAGTGATATATTAGGACTCCTCTCCATGTAGTCGACTCTGTCCTCTGCCAACCAATGGAAACACTTGAGGAACAACAGGAGTGTGAAGAGAGCCACGAATTTGGGCGACAAGTCATCCCTGAAGACTGTGAACGCCAGACACGTCTCGGTCACCGCATACCACGACTTCTCGATCAGATGCTAACACAACATCAATATTACCGTCAGATTAAGACATTGGATGGGATGGCAAAGCAGTTAATACCTCCATCTCTGCGGTCCTTAATTGTCCGAAGAATATCTTTCGCATCAGTTTTCCCATCAATAAGACGAAGACAAACGCCTGAATGTATATTATCTGTGCATTCAATACATTGTTATCATTGACTGGCACTCAAAGGCAAGTGTTGGACATGTCTTACAGCCATCGATGGATTAGATTTAGTGATGTATACCACAGATGGATAGAACTGCTTCTTCTGGAAGTAAGCGTTTCCGATGACAGCACTCGTCAGCAAAACGCTTCCCAAAGTGATGAGCGCTGCCCTCATCTCTGTTCCCATCATGTCTTGTGGCCAATGAATGGCAATATGTCTTGAGATGTGTTGAGATGTGTTGAGTGAGCGGACAGACAGTGAAGTAAACAACAGGTAATGAAGTGATGTTTTGCTGACAGTTATCATAAGACACGTCAATATATGACTCAAACATACGTTCACTTCATTTGAGACACAAATTACGAAAACATTCAATCATTCAATGGTTTTGTCATTAGATTTGTATTCAATTTAATTGTCAACACATTTAACACACATTTCGCTCATTTGAACGCAAATCCCATTTGTTTAGCATTTGGTCACCTCTTTGCCCATTATCTGTCACTGCTGTGGAGGTAATTATCATTGATTTAGCCACCAAATTGATGACATATTTGTTGTGTTTATTAATCTGATTTGTAATTAAATGAATAATTGATTTGATTTGACAGTGAATTGGGAGTGGAAACACACAATCACTTGATTTGTCACTCAATTGGTCCCAAGAACTATACGTAAGGTATTGTGATATTTCATGTGAAGCCATGTGTTAACGGTATGTTTGTAGGCAGAGGTGTGTCAGCCATGTCATCGTCGGCCATATACTTCTTGGACCTGAAGGGAAAAGTGTTGATATCACGCAACTATAGGGGAGACATCGACATGAACTCCATCGACAAGTTTATACCGATTCTGATGGACCGCGAAGAGGATGGATCCCTGAATCCCATCCTCAGACACAACGACACGACCTTTGCGTTCATCAAATGCAATAATCTGTACATCGTTTCGGTGACCAAAAAGAATGCAAACGTTTCGCTCGTCTTCTCATTCCTTCACAAAATAGTAAACGTTTTGATCGAGTATTTCAAAGAACTCGAAGAAGAGAGCATTCGCGACAACTTTGTCCTCATTTACGAGCTCTTGGATGAGTTGATGGACTTCGGGTACCCGCAGACCACGGATGGCAAGATTCTGCAGGAATATATCACTCAAGAGAGCCATAAAATGGAAGTACAGGTGAGACCACCGATGACTGTGACGAACGCCGTCTCCTGGCGTTCAGAGGGAATCAAATACCGGAAGAATGAGGTCTTCCTCGACGTCATCGAATCGGTGAATCTGTTGGCCAACGCATCCGGAAGTGTACTCCAGAGCGAAATCGTCGGTTCCATCAAAATGAGAGTCTATTTGTCGGGAATGCCTGAACTGAGGTTAGGTCTGAACGATAAGGTGCTGTTCGAGAGCACCGGTCGGGGGAAAAGCAAATCCGTGGAACTCGAAGACGTGAAGTTCCACCAATGCGTCCGATTGTCTCGTTTCGAGAACGACAGAACCATTTCATTCATTCCTCCGGACGGAGAGTTTGAACTCATGTCTTATCGGCTCAACACTCACGTGAAGCCTTTAATTTGGATCGAATCGGTGATAGAAAGACATCAACACTCGAGAGTCGAGTACATGATTAAAGCCAAGAGTCAGTTCAAACGCCGGTCTACAGCTAATAACGTGGAGATCGTAATACCGGTGCCGCACGACGCAGACTCTCCCAAATTCAAGACATCCATCGGAAGCGTGAAATACACACCGGAAGTGAATTCAGTCGTTTGGAACATCAAGTCGTTTCCGGGAGGGAAGGAGTATCTCATGAGAGCCCACTTCGGACTGCCGTCAGTGGTCAGCGAAGAGACCGAAGGCAAGCCTCCCATTCAAGTGAAGTTCGAGATCCCGTACTTCACCACATCGGGAATACAGGTCCGGTACCTCAAGATCATCGAGAAGAGCGGCTATCAGGCGCTCCCATGGGTTCGCTATATCACCCAAAATGGCGACTATCAGCTCAGAACTAATTAAATTGTTTTAAAAATTAAATTTATATCAAAAGTATTTAAACATATTTTGCATTCCGTCTAAAGGCTAACGCATTTGTAAAACAGTTTAGCGTTATTTTAATTATTATTATTATTAAATCAAGTTTCAAATCACTTGTCATTTACGGTATTATTTAAAAAAACATTTATTGAAGACTTTTAGACAAAAAATTACAAATGGACTCGAGGTTTGAATTGAGTTTCGGCTAAATCATAGTTAACTTAAATTTCTCTACAAATGGTATAAAACTATTCAATGAGTTTCTTTGCTTTGAAAAAGCGCCGTAAGTATAGGACCTGCCAAGTGGCCAGACCTAACAGACACAACATCGAGAATATGCTCAGATATAGCACGCGATTGTTAGTCGACTCTGCAATCAATCAATCAATACAACAGTCAGTCACTCATGCAATCATTGCATGTCTAACAGTAATACAAACCATTTGTGTCTCTCATCTCTTCCTCTCTCTTCTTCATGTACTCGAAGTCCTGAACGATAGACGACGAGAGGTCTTCCAGTTTAGTTAACTCCATCTCCAAAGGCTTCAGTTTACCGACGTTTGCCAACTGTGGACACAAACGCACAGACATTAGTACCTCAACTCAACGCATGCTTACTGTCACTCGTGTGAGACTCACCTCTTCGTAACTCTTGGCTTCGACGCCGTGTTTCATCTCGAGATGGACTTCGCGTTCGGGTCCGGTCTGGTGTCCGGTCTGGAGGTATGAGACGAAGCAGAAGTCGAAGATGTCGTCCTCGTCTGAGGTGACGGCGAACTTGCCTCTGTCGAGGTTCTCGCGGGCGAAGGCCGTGTGACCCTTGGAGTCCGTCACCGCGAGGTCGGTGCGCTGTCCCGGAGCCGGTGAGAGCTCGTACTCGCCCGTCACCAACACGTCTTTGCGCATCTCCTCTTTGAGGCACCGCTTAGTGTTTGGTTGCAAATGAAATCTCAGACATTGTGTCGGCGATAGAGTGACGCCTAACACCACACAATACACCGCCAAACAGTAGGTCCAGTGTCTCAACCACTCGCTCCACACCTCTGTCTTCATTTGTTGTTTGGATGGCTTTCACTAATTGATCGCTGAATCAGTGGATCCGCTAATGACGAGGCATTGAAGCGCTGAAGACGTGATGAACAAATCACGAAATGTTGTGATGAGTTGTGATGTGATTGTCGTGTTTGTGATGACGCGACACATCACTACTGCAGACATCTGGCGGTCAATACACGCATCGCTTGTCACCTCATAAGCCGGTCACTCAGACTTATCCACTGTTTTACGGTTATTCTCGAATGGATTAAGTGATCATTAAATCCATTGATCCCACAATTATAAGCTATAATTTATACCAATAACCATAACTTGTAAGCCCTTTCGACATTCAATTTAATGCATACAAACATTAAGTGCTTATAATTTATATAAAACTTTATATGAGAATAAAGAAACATAAAGAATATGATTACGGTATAATATACCGGTATAAAAACTATTGTAATAAAGTTTATTGTATTTCAAAAAACATTTTATATTCAAATTCATGTTTTTACTAATCAAATAAATTGTAAAACCCATCAGTTGTATCATTTATACATTTATAAACCTGTAAATTGTGACTCATTTGGATCCTTCTCTAAATTTAGCCATTCTTTCTGGAGTTAAAAACTTTGCGAAAAGATATCGCGATATTGTCGGCAGATATTGTGAGATATAGTATAGGGTTAGAACCGGTTGTAAAGCAATCCACGACTAAATAAAGTGATTCAAAAAATAGAAAAATGTTTTAATCAATTCAGTAATTAATTGATTAATTTGTTAATTACTTCATCCAAAGAGTTGACGATGGCTGTGGCCATGAGGTGAGCGCAACGATTTGTGTCCAACCGCTTGTTATCCTTACTGTGTGTGACCACTGAGTGCTGTCCGTCCTTTTTGCCGGACATTGCGTTCTCGAGAATCCGCGAGAAGACAGGTCCGGGACATAACATTGTGATCGATATACCCTTCGCCTGGGCTTCGGTTCGCAGACACTCGTAGTAACCCTTCATTCAAATTAATAGTTAACTAAATAAATCATTTCACTCGTCAGTACTTTAACTTACATGTAATGCATGTTTGGATGCCGTGTAAGAGGCAGAGTTGGGAACACCTAAACAAATATGAATAGGTTTTTGACAACAATTTTATTTTATCAATAATTCAATTAAGAATTTAGACCTAATTTTCCGGCAGTGCTTGAAGTGACCACAAAATGCCCTTTAATTTTGTTTTGTAGGAAATATTTCAAAACAATTCGCGTCAGATTTATGAGTCCAAAGACATTGATTTCAAACATCTCTTTGTCGACTTCGATGTCAATCTCTTCGAAGGCAGCCCTTTGACTGCGACCGGCGTTCGACACAAGAATGTCGAGCTTTTGGTCAAAGATATTGTCATTAAATGAACAAAACTTGACAACAAAATCAATACTCTTTTAAAGTGTTTGATGACTGAATTGAATTGCATTTGATGTACGGAATAGTCTCTGATATCAAAGCTGAGGATCAGGACGTCCTCCTCTTGCAGTTGACCACTAACTGAGATAATAATAAAAAATTTTCATAACTGATGAGTGGATCAATGACAACAAAGACTAACGGAGACATTGTCTCTTCACTTCTTCAAGTCTGGACCCATTGGTACCGGAGATGACGAGTTTGACTCCATTGGCGGCCAATTCATACGATAAGGCCTCCCCAATACCGCTCGAGGCACCGGTAATCCATACCACTTTACCTCTGAGTTCACCTGCAAATGAATGTCAAACCAGTTCAATGCAAAAGTGGACTCAAGACATGAGACCTACTGATGGAGTGCCCAAACTTTTCAGACAATACCAGTTGGATATCGGAATCAAGTCTTGCGAAGAACCAAACGAAGAGTGCGATCAGTATTAAGACAATTATAAGACCAAACATTTCGCTACAATTAAGTAAACAACAGTTTTATGAAAATGTAACACAACCACCAAAGTGACCAAGGTCTGTATTATATACTCTACCAATATATTGTCGAAATTGTCGATATTTTATTGCTGTCCCGGCACACTTTTATTTGTGAACAGTAGTAATAGTAGTAGGGTACTTATTAACTGTAATAATACCGGTATTAATGAATTACACAAATAATATGTCTTGAACAGTTTAAATTGATCGTCAGATATCTAGACGTAAAGTGATTTTAAAAGTAGTGCCAATCATTATGAATAACATTTATAAAAATACATTTAAACTATAAATTAATTTATTTAACGAAAAACTCATAAAATATAGTAATGTCTACAGAATTGCTTACCTTATGAATGCATTACTGTCTCTAAACTTAATTTCAATGATAACTCTGTACTCATTTATAACATAAATAATTGATTATCACAGCAATTGTAACATTGATTTTATTTGTTTACACTGTCATTGTCTAGGTTAAAAGTTCAATGATCACCCTGATTACATTATGCAACAAAACGTCAATTACGTAATAACTAGTCTACCACTGGTAGACTACCAGGTACATCGTGTACTCAAGTTAGAAAAGTTATATTTCTTATATAATTATATATTTCAGTAAATTTCAATCGATTTATAAGACAACTAATATATATAATAATAATTTTCCCGATTCTGATGACTCTGATATTAGTAATATTAATAGTGATCTTGATATTCAGGAATATGACTCTGATTCTGATATTGAATTTATTGATATGTAAATACATTAAAAATAAATTTCACCTAAAAGTTAAATATTTGACGAAAATAAATTTCACTGAAAATGTCACCTTAGATAGGAGTGCCTTTAGACTTATATCTTATTATACATTATTTATATTATGGATACTTTAATTTAATATTCTTGAAATATTCATTTCCTGTATCTTACAGGCTGTAAGATATCTTGTAAGCTCTAAACCTCTATAAATAACATTTAATATTACGTTAGATTAGAATATTACCGGTACAATTTTGTATTTTGTCTAACAGGCTAAACTAAATTATTTCTATCCACAATGGTATAGAAATGATTGTAAAATTAATACATTAATTAAAAATAATAATTTTATTCAAATTAACGAAAAATAAAGTAATTTATTTGAAATGATTTTTACAAATTTGTTAGTTCAGTACAATAGACTCATAACTCGTATTACTCACAATAGTTATGAACAAAATAGAAACTCAACTATCAATGGGTTCATTGGTTGTATTTGTTGGCCACCGTTGTCTCACTTGAATGGTAGACATCTTATGGACTTTATGGTAGTGCGCCAACAGGTGAGCGGATGAACGAGAGGCGCGGTCGCACCCATCCATCCGGCACTTGAAGGGACGTAAGTCCTGGTGTAGGTAAGTGTGAGTGCGAAGGGACGAGTGTGTAGCGAATGACTGTTCACATGCAGGCCAACTGCACTCATACTTCTTGACAGCTTTGTGTCTCTCCTGGTGTACTTCGAGTTGTTTTTGGGTTCGGAACCGTTTCACGCAATCGGGGTAATCGCAGCCATAGTCGCGCACATCTAAGTGCAATAATCGGTGTATTTCGAGATTCTTGGTTTGCCCGAATGCCTTATCACATCCGGGCCACTCGCATATGAATGGGTTTGTATGGATTCGGGTGTGTTTACTGAGACTACCATTTGTTTTGAACGCTTTTCCACATCCAATGTGTTGGCACACAAA